AAAAAAAAAAAAAAAAAAAAAAAATTTACTCGGAATTCAAAATTGACCTGAAAAACACAAGGATAAGCTTTGATTTATCTTTACCTCTAGGTAAGTTTCAGTGGCTCATCACAAAACCATTTTTGAATGTAGGTTTAATGCAAGAACAGGGCACCCTCTCTGAATTTTCTGTATTCTTATTCTTTATCCGATCTGTATAATTGTGTTGGCCACAACACTGTAACTATGAAAAAGGTTCTATGAATTTTACCTTAAAAAATTCAAAATGCAGTTAGTTTTTAATTGTTTAATTTATTACTTTATTACTGTTATTGTCAAGCAGAGCTAAAGATTGCTGCTTATATTGGTGAGTTATGATTGGGTAAAATTATTATGTCTAAATTTTATCTTGTGGGAGTTCAGAAGTGAAGATATGCTTGATATGCCCATACAGAAATGATGTTTAGGAATAAAATAAAAACAGAGAACCACCTGAAGTGTGTTTTGCTCATAACTATAGCAGTTCTCCTTATGTGTACTACTTATTCAAAATACGCTGTCAGACGTGGTTACTCTGTCTAAAAATAGATTCAAGTCTATATTTCTACTTTCCTAGGCATAATGTAAGGTGTAAAAACTGCCACAAAGAACAAAAATAAAAATAGGATAATAACACTAATCATATAAATGATTAAACTAAGAAATGTCTAATTTTTAGTGCTGATTCAGAAAGCCAATTCAGTGGGGAAAAATGAGAGAATCCTCTTACATACTTGTCACCTCGGGAATAAAGGTTGTAGTGAATATTTGATCATTTTCTTAACTTGCTATTGAAAATGATAATATCAGTACTCTAAATGACTAAAATAGCGCTTTAGAGTTAGGGTACTGAAAATTAGTTCAACCAACAAAACCTATACATATTATCTCAATTACATGGCTAGGAACTGTAAACCGGAATCTCATGAATAATAGCGAGGCCATACACAGAGCTGATCTCCTGCTGGTCACTTTCTGGCCATAGGACAGTTCATTCGTCTGCTGCCAGTTCTAATGCAGTCTGGAAATGCCATCCACACGCAGATCACATGCATCAGAGTAAAATAAGAGGAGTAAAAGCATTTTAATTCTGTTTCACTTCTCGTAAGATCTCATTTCTGTTATCACAGGTACTAAAAATAATAGCTATTTTTCTGTGAGGCATCTAGGGTAGCAGTGAAGAGTACAAAAATCTAGTGCCAGACTGTGTGGGCTTGAATCCTGGCTCTGTCACTCGTTAGCTGTGCAATCCTGGATAAGTTATTAAATTTCTCTGTCCTTCATCTATAAAATGAGAACTGCGTCTACCATATTGGGGTGGGAGGATTAAGTAAGTTAATACAGGCACTATATCTGGTCCTACGTAAAGGAGTACTAGTTTATTGAGCACTCACTACGTTCCAGGTGCTGACCTATTCCTGCCAAACATTTGGCTGAAATTATCAGTTCTGTTTCCTTCCCCTTCAGCTGTCTAGAAAAAATCTCAATTTTCATTTTTTCTTGACAACCAGAGGTAGGGTTTCACTAAGATGAAACTTGGAATTTAGAGGTTACCTGTCCCAGGTTCACAGCACCACTGCACGACAGTCCTGGCATGCAGGCTCAGACGGTGACCAGGCGCTGTGCTGCTGGCACCAGAGCCTCCGGCTTAGACTTGCCTTCTGATGGGTGCAGAGGACAGGGTCTCCCCTTGTGCAAAAACCACCAGCACTTTTCCAGATGTCAGCACTTTAAAAGGCACATCAATCAAGGCAGAAAGAAAAAAAAAAGAATTACAGAAGGAGATAAAAACTCAAGATTCGTAAGCGGGGGCAATGCTCTGTTACCCAGTTTGTCTGGAAGAAAGGCAAAAACTCTCATTCCCTGCCCCTCCTCTCTCCCCTACCCTGCAGTGTCACCCTCGACACCTAACTTTTAGTTAATTTCATGTGACTGTTTCCTGTATGCATTTGGAATAGTCCACTTGGGTCTACTTCAGGCTTGTCTTTAGATCCATACTGAGAAACGGCTAAAGCAATTCCGCCATAGTTGATGAAAATTGTATTAAGACTGAAAGTTTCATGGAAATGTACCCTGATGGTTCCTCAGGAGTACCAACGTGAAGAGAATATTCACTGTCAGTTTGTTGTTTTCTGCTGATTCTAAGTATTTTCTTTCCTTTAACCAACTCGGGGGTCATCGAAGCGTTTGGTTTTCACTCTGTGCTGTATAGGAAGAATGTATTGGGCTTGTTTCATGAGTAGGGAGGAAGTACAGTTCTATTCGGAATATCTAAGGGAGATTTCTTCTCATAGCCTCAGACAAACCATAAAAGACTTTGAAACGGACCAAAAAAAAAAGTTACTCAGTGTCTCCTAAATGGAAACTGGGCTTTTTCTAGCATATTTCAGGTGAAATATAGGGGTACCTTTTGTGTTTTTCTTCCTAGATAAAATACAAATTTTATTAATGGTCTATTTCATGAGTGATAATTTATTTTACAACTTTGCAAAACGTAGCAAACCATAATCATTCAAATGATTCATGGTCAGAGAAATGAAAATAAATTTCCTGCTGAGGATACATTTAATTCCTCCCTTCTTCTTCTTTTTTTTTTTTATTAAATGATAGCTGAATACATTAATGCAAACATGGGGTACAGTGTAGTGTTTTCATATACATTTTGAAATACTTTCATCAGGCTGGTTCACATAAATTTCATGTCATTTGCATAGTCATTGTGTCAAAACATTTATATTCTAGTTCTAGAAAAGATCACTTGTACCCTTGTTAGACAGATAATTCCTCCCTTCTTCAAGCCTGTTTTACACCTAATAAGTGTTGGCTTATATAAGTGTATTCTCTTTAGAATCTCCCTTGAATCAATTTTTATATATTATCAGTTCTCTTATTAATCAAGACATTATGTAAAATCATTGACATGGGCTGACCGTATTTTTGACAAGAATGATGATTTTTACATTTTAAAATATTAGCCTTTCATTATGCTGTCAGGGCTTAGAATGTGACACCCAAAATATGGCACCTTGGCATACTGAGTATTTTAAGCTGAAGGAAATTGGAAGAAAAAAAAAAAAAACTTTGGAAATAGGAAGGTCACTCTTTGGCCTTCTCTTACCTTTCTTCCCTGAAATGGGACGTCAAAAAGTTTTCTGATCTATATTCCCTGGAACTAGGCCATAAGATCCTCATTCCAGAGGGGGCTCTACCCATACCCAGAAGCCAAGAAACATCTGAACAAATAGGCTTTGAAAAGTTTCCGCGGGATTATTACTGTTAGATCATCCCCCTTGCCTTCTGATTACACTTCTGCATGACTGTCCATAAAATTACAGTTTTCCCTAGGTATCTGGGCTGGGGCATAAGAGATTTAGAGGCTTATAAGAGCTTAATCCAGTCTGAATGCAGAAGACAAAATGATGTAAACAAAGCTGTTAGCTCCGGGGTCAGCTGGGCATTCGAGTCCAGAGTCTGTCATTTGACCATGAAATACCTTAGCAAGTATTTCTCATCTGAAAGCTTTAGTTTCTTCTTCTACATAGTAGGACTCACAGTGCATCTGAAGGGGCTGGTCTGAGGATTCATAACATAATCCCTGTAGAGAGCTTTTAACAGTATCTGGCACAGGGGCATTATCAATCAATAGTTCTCATTTTAATATATGTGTAGAGGAGTATGTGAATAATATTTAAGTAAATCTAGGTGATGTTGGTAAACTATATTTGTGTGTTAAGAGTTCTTGTGTGTTGTATTTAGGTTCTGACGCCAGGCTTAAAAGTTTGAGGCACATGGGTTGAGATCCAAGGCTTTGCCACCAAAACTGTTTTCTATCTGTTCTGGCTGACATACTTTCAAAATTCAACAGATATGGACTTGGACATGGATTCACACACACACATTTTGGGTATAGAGAGAATACTTTTCAGCTCTAAATGCCAAGCAATTAACAATAGACCTCAAATGATGAGCTATCCAGTAAATTTGCCAAGCAAATTAGAGCAAATGAAATTAAAAGCCAGTGGTGCTATTCAGAAAAGATTTGGGGGAACTTTGGCCATTACACAGATGAATGAAACTTGAGGAATCAATGATAACTTGATCAGTTAACGGTAACTGTGTAAAATAGGCAGATGACAACATCTGCTCAGGGCTGCGAAGTAGGTGGTTGATCTCTGAGCACGCTCAGATCTGTATGATGTCAAGTTCATGCTCCTTTCACTAGGGGACAATCTCTGTGATACAAAGGCAGACTTCACTGAACTGAAACACTGAAGTTTCTTAAATAATTGAAAGTAACTGTAGCTGTAATGGATACATTTTATTACCCTGAAGATGTTTTCAGGAGATTCATTACAAGCTAAATTGACAAATACAAATCCTGCTACTTATGTCTCATCATCCTACCTATGAAAACTAGGTGAATTGTTCAGTATGTATTCTTTAAATGAAATTGCTAATTTTCAAATTAATAAAAGTCTAAATGTATAATATTTCTTTACTAAAATATAACATAACATAACCATTGAAAGTCAGTAGTGGTAGCCAGAGTTGGTAGGAGAGGGATGGAGAAAAAGTACAGGAATTTAAATGCCTAACTTAGTACCACCTCTTGTTCCCCTATATTTTGGAGTATTTGTAACTACTTTCTTAAGAATATGCAAAAAATGTTAAAGACAAATTCCCCTAGCCTACCCATTCAATCTGACCCTGACCTTTGCTATCATTCTGGTATTTCCATCGAATTATGTTTCCCCACAAATACATTCACATTTGGCTTATCATATAGGTTCAAATGTTACAATAATCCAAAGCATCCAATTTCCTTTAGAATTTAAGAGGATGTATTTATAAGGACAGCATTCTATACCTCTACTTTCTTTGCAAAGATGATTGTTGAAAGTACAGCCTGAACACCAAAGGCCCATGTTATCAAAAATAAGTAATACTATTTCCTGAGAACCTTAGTCCAATGGAGTTGTTGATGGCACTGTCTTAGATCAGATCTAAAACTCTAATTGAGGAAATTCAATTATTTTGTCCCTCAGTTCACCATTTTGCTAAAACTAGACAACTTAGTGTGTGACCTACCATTTAAACTATCCCATCATGCAGAAAGCAAAAGGTATAAGAAAAGCAACAGCAGGGTGGAGATTGTGGCTCAGTGGGTAGGGCACTGGCCCCATACACAGAGGGTGATGGGTTCAAACCCAGCCCCAGCCAAATTGCAACATAAATAGCCAGACGTTGTGGTGGGCACTTGTAGTCCTAGCTACTCGGGAGGCTGAGGCAAGAGAATCGCCTAAGCCCAGGAGTTGGAGGTTGCTATGTGGTCGCCAAGGCACTCTACTGAGGGCAATGAAGTGAAACTCTGTCTCTAAAAAAAGAAAGAAAGAAAGAAAGAAAGAAAGAAAGAAAGAAAGAAAGAAAGAAAAGCAACAGCAATAATAAACTTAATTCTGTATGTATATTGGACTATTTCTTTGAAAACTGAAAATATCTATACAAGACCAAATGAAATGATTTTTACATTTATTTAACTATTTAATTTTTAAAAATCTGTGGCCATTTCAATCTTTTTAAAAAATGAGACCTCAATTTAGTTTTTAATTCCTCCCCTCCCCCCTTTTTTGAGAGACAGACTTTTACTAAGTTGCCTTCGGTAGAGGGCTGTGGCATCACAGCTCACAACAATCTTAACTCTGGGCTTAAACGATTCTTTTGCCTTAGCCTCCCAAGCAGCTGGGACTACAGGCACTAGCCACAACACCCTGCTATTTTTTTGTTGTAGTTGTCATTGTTGTTTAGCAGGCCTGGGCTGGGTTCGAACCCTCATGCCTTGGTGTATGGCTGGTGTACTAACCACTGAGCAATGGGCACCACACCTCCTCCCCCGCTTTTTTTGCTACAGGGTCTCACTCTGTTGCCCCAGCCTAGAGTGCCATGGTATCAGCCTACCTCACAGCAACCTCAGACTCCTGGCCTCGGGTGACTGTTCTGCCTCTACCTCCCAAAAGGCTGGACTACAAGTATCGCAATATTTCCTATGATAACAGCTGTCACTAGAGAAAATTTTTAATAAAGACACTACGGAAAATTATCTCCAAGTATGTTGAGTTACTCAGGAATTTGGAATAAGCATTGTAATCCAGATCGCATGGAATTACAAACTACCAGTTCATTCAATGAAGGAGAGGTAAAGGAAAGTGTTTATTAGCAAAAGAGGAGAGATTTATGTAAGATGCTTAGAAATGGAGTTCATTAGTTCCAAAGGTTGAAAGGCAGATTTGTTGTTGGTTCATAGGTGGAGATGCCGTTATCAGACAAATGACCTTCTGGGGGCGTCTTATCTGAATTTCTGTAGTCCTAAAAAATATCTCGTGATAAACATTGTCAAAGTAGGAGATGCCTGGAGAAAACTTTCTTGTGATGTTTTCATAGTTTCTGGTACCAGTCCTCGTCACAGATGTGTAAGCCTGAGCCTCCCCCCCCCTTCATCCCTTCCCAGTCCTATTTTGTTTGCGTCTTACAAGAGCTAAGTCATCTGGTATCTGCAACATTCACACACCACATATTAATTAATATATAGTATCTAGTATTCATAATAATAACATAAAAAGCAATCTCAATATTTACTACATAAAATCTATGTAGTAATTATTTACTATTACTATTTATTCATTTCACATAAACATTTACATTAAATATCCAATTAATATTTTCTACTTGACATAAATTATATTTGCTATTTTCAGAGACAAAAACACAGACTTTACATTTATTAAATGTTTAGATTTTTAGTACCTCTCCATTCAGTATCTCACTTAATTTGACACTAATAAGAGATTGGTAGAGACAGGAAAAAACTGTATAAAAGAATATTTAAAATAACTGGATATCTCAGTTTAGAGTATGTATTTAAAATCATCTTCAAGCCATGGAATAGCTCTTGGGCCCATAAGATCTTCCCATGAATTGATGCTGTGAATTAATACAGTTAAAGGGAAAAATGTGTTCCTCCAAAAATTATGGGTAAATTCAGAGGAAAATGCCAAAAGATTCATGACTTCAAAAAGTAGCAGTACCTTTCCACGAAATAGCCAAAAGAGATGGGATGGTAGTTTCATAGCCCCAGGCCCTACTACGTCAGACCAGACATTCATGGGCATCCTTTTGATGGTGTCTAACAAGATTTTTCATTTTGATTTCATTAAAAAGTGGACCATATGATGCGGAACCTTTTAAGATGTGTATGTTTTTCTCTCTATGGCTTCCCCCTTCTTTTTCTGTCTCTAATCCCCATTATATTAGTAGTAGACAAAGTAATTTTAAATAATCTTTGTCTAAATGGAAATTTGTGGTAAGGAGAAAATTAAAAATTTTCCATAAGCCATTTCTGTCTTGGTTTCCATTCCAAAATCTGAACCCAAATGATAAAGTTACTCTAAGGAATAATTTTAGGTGGAAGGAGAGAAAGGTAAGATCTGAGAAGAAAGGGTGACCCTTCAAGGAGAATAAGAAAAGAAAAGTGAAGTCTCTAATCTTTAGACTAAAGAGCTTCTAAGACTGATCTTGGAAGTCTGTGGGTTCCAGAGCAGCAGGTGCTAACTCTTGGATTCCTGGCATTGCCTTGACATTATGTTAAGATCACAGAAAGAAACGAGGGTATGGTTTCTAGTTTTGCCTAAAGTGCCTGTGCCAGGGTAACATTTAAATAATAGTGGAATTTACTAACAGTGGGCAGCACTTGACCCTCTTGTCAGACGTGACTCCTTATCTGCTATGCTATTCAAGGTCTGATTCTCATAGGGAAGGGGTGCTGTAGGAAAGATGGAATGACTATTTGCCAGTCCCTCCCCAAACGGTTTCACTGGTATTCCTGCACCAGTAAATGCTTGATGGATAGCAGCTCTGCCTTTGCTACCCCACGTCATTCAAACAGCAGAACAAGCAGAGCTGGAGGGACCACGTGGGGAAGCATGCATTAGTGGAAACCAGTATGAATTGATAATCAGTGTCCAGACTGACCACCCAGACTGTCAGTGTTGTTATATAAAAGCTAAGTATTTCTGCATTCCTCTGGGTCAGCGACAACATAACTGCAGTTAAACTTCCCATTTGCTTGGCTGTGAATTGAAATCAACTTGATTTAAAGAAAAATTTAAAAGCTGTATTTCATCTGAGTGAATGACTTGTGACCCATACCTGCCACATGGATGGTAATTGGCTCATGTTCAGATCTTATGCTTCTGATTATAATCGATCTCTTCATGTTATGTGCATAAGGGGAGAGAGAGTGTGCTAGCCAGCTGCCGGAGCCTGGCTCTCTCCGTAGTTATATTTTTGTTTGTTAAATCATAAATTGTGAACACAATTATAAGTTGCCTTTCCTCACGTCATGCCCACAGAGAGAAAAATGTATTCTAGCCTTGCCAGGATCACTGCCCACAGCTGAAGAGGAAGCCTCTGCACTGAGACATCAGAGTTTGCAGCAGCAGCAGGGAAAAAGCTCAGTGTCCCAGGTGCCAGGCCAGGAGATGAGATCCACTGTCACCTAATGTCCCACCTGGAGTCGGCTCTGTTTATATTCACTCCCTCTTACTCCTGCCTCTGTGCTCATCACTGAATTTTGGCCAATCAAAGGCAGCCAACTGTTCAGACTGCTTAAGGTAAATTTTAAACTACAGTGTCTGTGAATTTCAAACCACAAGGCATCCCTGGGGTCTCTCTGAACCTGTTCTGGTTCAGCTGCTGGATTTGTGACTTGTTCTTTGCTCAAATTCTGTTAAATTTAATTTGTCTAAGGTTGTTCTTTTAACAGATGACATCAAAAGTAGGTTCAGAAACAGAACTCCCAGAGACCCCCACAAGCACTTACCAGACCCATTGTGCCCATCACTCTTTTGAAGTAACCAGGGGTCTTGGGGAAAGTCTCTCTCAGATTCTGAAGCTCTACAGATTTGCGTTTTGAGCTCTCCAAGTAAGTTTGAGCAAATTTTTGCTCCTAACTGATTTGAAAGTTACAATCAAAATTGGACTGGATATGAGATCATATTGGAGCTGATAATTAACTGACCTGGATTTGTTAAAGGTCTCAGATGTCCAACTGGGTCAGGTAGAAACTGGCAGTTAATGGCAATACTACAGGGGTGTGAGAACTACAACTTTCATTTCATGTTCTATCCCTTTATTTCCTGCGCATTGGGGTAGGAAAGATCATTGCCTAATTTGATCAGCGAGATCTGAAGCACAAAGCCAAGACTCAATGGGATCCTTAATTTCTGAATAATTGAGTATTCTGCTTTCTGGCTACACCTACCTATCCATGGATAGCATTAGGCTCTGGAAGCAGCAAATGCTTACAGAGATGGCAGAATCTTACTAAGGGCAACTTAAAATTACAATGAAATGTTCCAAATATATAACTTTTAAAAATGCACTTAAAAATAAGGGCCTTTCAATTGATTTCACCTAGGGATGACTACTGATGTGCAGAAGCTTCTAGAAAGATTCAGAATTCCCTTCAGGAGAAAATAAATAAAAACCTTCAGTCACTAACGACATAAGAGAAATTAAATCTGCAGATTTTTAGCTTAGTTACTATTCTTCCCTGAAGGCAAAAAGAAAGCTATCCTGGATAAAGCATTTACAAAAATAAGACCCTAAGGTAAAATTGACTTCCTTCTTTTTCAGCTCTATCCATGATGAATCTAGATATAGAAATGTATTTGCCCCTGTTCCTAAATAGAGTCTATCCTGAACACCTTAATTTCGACTAAAAAAATGGCAGCTAAGTTAAGAAGACCCCACCTACAACATGCCCCTATGGGATCTATCTGGCTATGTTGAAACCCTTTGGTAAAAAGAAAAACACATCTATAAAGCAAATTTCCGTGTATAAGAGTGTCTGAGAGGGAGGGCTCAGTCACTAGAAACCCTTACCATCGTTGTACATCTACGTGACATGTCTTTACCTTTGTTTAAGGTACTTTACCTGGTCATTTCATCTTAACTGGAACTTTACACACAATCTCATTTTTTTTCCTGTTATAAGCAAATGATGGTACAATATTTAGGACTAAAGTCTTAGATCTGTGCTTTTTCGATATAAATTTTCTGCTTTGCTTCACCTAAAAGTCATCTCTTTATTAATAACAATTAATAACATGGTGGGGTGAGGGAAGAGGAGATCCGAGAGGGAAAGAAGGAGGGAGGGGTGGGGAAAGGAAGAGCAGAAGGAAGGAGGGAGGGGGGTGAGGTCTTGGTGTGTGCCACACCTTTTGGGGGCAAGACACGATTCTAAGAGGGATTTTAACTAACAAATGCAATCACTGTAACCTGGTTTCTTGTACCTTCGATGAACCCCCAACAAAAAATTTTTAAAAATTAAATTAAATTTAAAAAACAAACCAAAACAAAAATTCATCTTTCTAAAAGGCAAATTATTGCCTAGGTAACAATTGCTTAGGACAGTAAGATAGGTAGTTAGAAGATTGAAAATCTGAATTAAAAACATATGAAAAATTCTTAATTAGAGCTAAAAGATCTGCTTCTATCCATCTGTCTGTGTGTACATGACAGTTCTCTACCAAAATATGTAAAGGGGTTCTAATTAATTGTCATACAAATCTTAAGTCTCCGACCATGCATCTATGAATACTTCAAGACAACTGCAAAATAGTTTCATCCCTCGTACCCCAAGCTCAACTCCAACTATGCCTCTTGTCAGCAGGAAGAATCCAGGTCAGTTATGTGCCTTTTTCCACCTTTTTAACCCACACCTCAGGAATAAGGTGGGATGAAGTTGAAGACTGAAACTTTTCTTTAAAAATTAATGAAGAGCCACAAGTGGGAACTATGGTTCCACTACTGTATATAACCAGCCTTTGTTTCCTGGCTTGCTTTCCTATCATTGCTTAGGACTCAAGAGTCATACAGCTGATGGTGATAAAGATTATTAGCTGACATCATTGCTCCTGCAGATATCAGCACCCTTGTGAAACCAAATGCATATTTTTAAGATATTTTCCAGGCCCTGAATTTCAGTGGAATGGCTGACCCACACAGATGAGTGCCCAAACCAAGGAATGGATTCAACTGAACTTAATCCAATCCCACATGTGAACTGACTCAGCTCAAGATAATTTCTATTCTTCTATGAATAGAATCTTCTATTCTTTCTATTCCTTTATGAGGTTCTACCCCAAACCCAGCCAATCAGCAGACCCAACTGCCTAGCCCTTTTCTGCCAAACCATCTTTAAAACCTGTTTTCTCAGATTCTTGGGGGATGGATATGAGAACTTTGGTCTTTGAATGATGTCTGTGATATTGAACGTGCTCTGCTGTAACTCCTGCTGTCTCAGTGTACTGCCTTCCTCTCGAGTAGATGCAATGAATGTAGTAAGGCTGTAACAAATGTGCTGACGATAGAACGTGTTTCTCTCTCCTTGGAAAACTACATTGCTCCTTGACTTCAATACACTTTATTCTGATTTCAGTCTTTAGATTGTTAAACTGATTGATTGTAATTCAACCTTAGAGATGGATGCCTATTGACTACGTGCTGAAAATAAAACATTTAGATGTGCTGAGGTCTGGATTTGATTTATTGAAAACTCACCAAGAGAATCCTACCTGGAAAAGTTTCTAGCAAGGGGATGTTTCATTTGAGATATGGCCAAAGACATACTCTACTACAATGCCGTGGAACATAAATATTGCTCCTTTGTATAACTACGACACTTAAAATCTAAATAACAAACTCAAGCTTCTGAAGTGAAATACATACCAGAATTAGGAGCCATCTGATGTTGTGGTGAATTCCCAAATAACCCAAAAGACAAAGAACAGTTGCAGATCTCACTCCAATAAAAATTTGAGAAATATATACCATAGAATATTTTCATCTGTAGAAGCCACAAAATGACATACTATAAAGTGGGATATTATTCATTTTCTGTTTAGTAATAATTGCAGCAATCCAAGGTTTTCCTGAGTAGCAGCTACCAAACGCTAGGATTCTTTCTTTTTAGTTTGACCCTAACATCTCTTACTCTAAGTGACTTTTCCCTTAGATAGAGATGGTTTCGCATGGTAGAGATGATTTTAGTCTCAGTTTCAGTCTCTTACCTTTATCATAATTATCTTCTATAATAGAAGACATTTTTTTCTCTCCTATATCTAATGTGCATTCGAACTTCATGTATTCATTCATTCATTCATTTATTCATAAAAAAGTTTAGTCCCTAACGTGTGAGATAGGCATCCCTTCTATACACCTGAATTTATTAACATACCTCCTTTCACGCTATATTTTATTCTTTCCCCATCTAGCCTGTGAGCTCTCAGTGCTGAGATTATATATATTTACTGCATACTAAATATAGACTGTTGGATGCTTGGTGCCATGGCACAGACCTATAGAACAATAAATGCTTTACAAACATTTGTTTTAAGAAAAGATGAATACATAAGTTAAACATGCCACAGGTTCTATGAGACAACAGTGGAAGCCATAGCCTGTATTATCTCAAAAAGGTCAACTGTCTGGCGGCACCTGTGGCTCAAAGGAGTAGGGCACAGGACCCACATGCTGGAAGTGGTAGGTTCAAACCCATTCCTGGCCAAAAACTGCAAAAAAAAAAAAAAAAAAGTCAACTGTCAAATTTTCAGAAAATCTCCAAGTCACCTGAATTCACACTGGCATGTTATAACTGGCCATTGTGGAAGTATTTAAACCATGGAAACAGGCAAGTGTCATAAATCCAGACTCTCATCTCAGAACTGTTATTAAACATTCTCCAGCACACTCCTGGGTACAGGGGGACCCAATCCAGTAGGGGCAGAGGGTAGAGGGTTTGGACAAGATTAATGGAAAAGGCAATACATGATCTATAAGTGATAAGGAAATCAGGTTGGAATTGTGAAAGCATTTCCGAGACACAACAGCAGTGTGTGTAGGAAACTATGAAACTCTGCTTTATTTGCGCTTAAATTTGATGCAAATGAGAACTGAAAAAATTTACAGGAGAATGGAAAGATGGAAATTATGGGCACTTTGTTTTTTACTCTGTAATTAAGCTACACCAGGACAGGGACTTTATTATTTCCTGTTGTTTGTTTCCCTTTGTATCCTCAGCTAAAGGGACAGTGACTGAGACACAACATGTTTAATAAATATTTGTTGCATAGGTAAGTAAGGCAATGAGGAACCAGACAAAGAGCTCTGAATAGAGGATTTACATGATCACATTTGCTTTCATTTAATTTGTTCATTGACAAATCAATATTGTAGAAATTCAGGAGGTGCTTTGTGGTGTTTCAGTACATATAAAGTAGGGTGATCAGATCAGAATAATTAGTACAGCCACCATCTCAAATATCCACCATTCCTTTGTGTTGGGAACATTCAAAATATTCCTTCTAGCTATTTGGAACTTTTATATATATATTGTTAACTAAGGTAATTTTCTTATATTAATAAATAAGTGAAAAAGAGCTTCAGAGAGAATGTTGGATGCTACTTAATACATTTTAGATTTAGATAAATACTGCCACCTGCTGAATTAACCCAGGTATGCAACTGTTTAAAATAGACCGCCTTATTTCAACTGAGCGAAAAGAAAAATAAACACATATCCAAAGCTGTTAAAAAATTATTTGTATCCAATAAGACAAGCACCAAATCCAAATAATAAAAATCCAAGAACCTAAAAAAAATGACAGTCGATGCTTTTTTAAGTAATTGCCTACAGAACGCTTTATGTTTTCTTTAGTAAATAATTATGAAAATTCTTCCCAGGACACCTCCATTAATGAGATCAAGAAAATATTCAAAAATTAATGTTTTGTTTTTCCTTAACATTCTCTTTCTCCCTGGATATCAGTGGTTCCAAAAAGATAACCACAACTTAGCACATTCAACCAAACTTTAAAGAATTCTGCCTCCTCATGTCCTTTATTTGCACATTTTTCTTCCCACGTCAGTTGTCAGGATCCCATCTTTCCCTGCCTGAAGGCATCTTGCAACTGTACTCGCATCTCTAATTTTCAGCTAAGCAGCCCCTGCATTTAACATAATAAAGATGGTATCTGCAACCTTTTGGCCAGGCAGTTGGAACTGAGAAGGCGTTTTATGCCACGTCAATGAAATCTTACTTCAGTAAGTTCCCTTCACGCAGTTTTCGGATTGTTTTCAGTCTCAGGACACCTTGTGCACCTTGCTGGAAAGTTTTCCTTCTCCTCTGCTTGTCCAGACTCTTTCCCAGGACAATGTCTCCTACTCACTTTGTTGCCGCTCTATTTTCTCAGGCACCCGTCTTCTAAAGTCGGAGGTACTGAAGCAGAGAAAGCAGTTTTGTGTACCATCATAACCCTTCATCTTCCCACCTGTACGTATCAATAGGTATTTGTCAAATGAATAAAAGAATGGACGGATGAATTAAATTATGTAATTAGTCTATAATTAAGTTGGTTTGCAGTGTAAGGAAAGAAATTAACTTCAGATTGTTTTTATAAACCATCATTTCCCAGATAGATAGCCAACTGACCTAAAACTTTTCTGAAAAAAATCAACACCTACCCAACAAAACACTGGGGTGCTTTGTTACATTTGAAGGTTTCAAATTTTCTTGAGTATGTTTCTTGATTTTCCTTTTTCTCATTTTATTGTTTCAATTCTAGCAAGGGCCAAACTTTTAAATGCATCGTAGTTTAGAAATTATTAATACATGAAGTGCAAAACTGATGTGATGAAAGCATATTTAATAAGATTATTTTGATGTTATTTGTTCCTAATTAGGAAGAAACTAACTGTCTGTTGAACTGAAGGGTGCTTTAGAAAGCGGAGAACTAACCTCCCTTAGAGGATTTGCATTACCCTCCCTACTTTAATCAGAATCCATATTCCTCCTGAAACTCCCGAGGTTCTTCTTAGCTTAAGGAGTGTCTCTAGGCTTTTTTCTCCTCTCTCTTCTTAGAACTCTCTTGTTCTCATTTGCCGTATCCAGTTTCGGTCCTATTGTCTCATTCCCTGACTCCTCCAACGCCTCCATGTTTTGATGGATCACTGAGTTGGAAAGACTGCCTGATTTTTACTTGAGTTTCTCCCAAAGATGTCGTAAATCTATATATTTGGTTTGAATTCCGTTTACGGCAGCTGTGTAAAAACAGGTCTCCTACAGTCTGAAAAGGAAACTAGGCCCAGATTCCTGACTTCTTGTTTGTATGCAAATGAGAAAAAGAGTAATGACTAAAGAACAAGAAAACTCTGAGGTCACTCTGTTGAGAAATGTTGAGGCATAGACTCGATTGTTGACGCAATAATAATTAGAGTGTCAGGTTGGGGTCGTGCTGAAATGCTTCATCAAAGCAGTCATTATTCCTCTCTTAGTCCAAGTGGGTGATGACACCTTTCTAGGAAATCACCTTGGAAACATGGGGCTAACTCTGGCCTGTTCAATAAGGGGGCTCCCAAACCAGCTGCAGGTGCCATAATTTATAGTTAGCGGAAAGGCACAGATGACAAACTCAGGCAGGTTCTTTTAAGCCAGTGAGCTGGAAGCCAGACACTTCTGTTCATACTGCACAGACACAGACTTGGTCCTCTGACAATAGTCAGAGGTAGATGGAGACAACTATACACCCAGGGGGAAGGAAAGAAGTGATTCAGAGTGGAGGGGGCCAAATCAAAAGTCCAACCATCAGGAAAGGGCAATTATAAAAGATAATTAGTAAAACAAAAAGAGGACTACAATTTTAATGTGATTTACTATCTGAAATATTATCAAAAGTGATCAGAAGGATTCGCGTAAAGAAGTATTAAAATTGTAAACTTAGTACTTAATATTGAGTTTGAAGTGACTGAAGGAATCTATGTGGTTATGTGTCATACCTGGAAATGGAACACAGATACACGGGCAGCATAGGTTATGCAGACTCAGACGTCATCCATAGAGAACCAGTGTCATAGGAGTGAATGAAAGGAAATAGGAACTGTCTATAGAAAGAAATGGGCAGAGGTTTGATGGTAGGGAATAATATGATAAATAATTTGAAAAAGACACACAACTATTATGTACCTATAATAATTAAAAATTTTAAAAAAACACAAAAATGAATTTGAATTTTTTTTTAGAGCAAACTTATGCAAAGTGAGGAGGTAACCAAAGCACGGTCTCGTGGAAAGCAATAGAGGGAAACATTTCCAGAATAGGGTTATATGTCACAAAGTTCAAAAGGGTGAGAACTCAGCACTGTCAAAGGTAGCCAGCTCAACTTGCTAGGGAGGGTGTTTATGGTAATTCCAAGACTGCAGTTCAAGGTCAAAGAGTTAGAATACAACAAAACAGGTGTCTAAGCAACAAGACAAAGGAGCCCATAGCCATGATTACACAGAATGGTAAGAAGAGGCGGCCACGTACTGGTCTTTTCAGCCACAACGCCCACATACTGAAAACCATGCAATGAAAATAGAGATGTAATAAAACAGAGATAACAATAAGTTAGTGAAGTTCTTGTTTAAATATCTGTAGTATGAGAGGCCTATATTTTCTTTGGTATAAATAAAAAATTTGTTTTTGTATTTCTTTTGTTCAGTTCCTGACTATTTATTTAATGGTTTAACAGCAGAGATACTTGTTAATGGTACAAGTGCTATAGGGATGGGCAACTTACACTAATTCACTTATTCCTAATTGTAATTTTTTTAACAGGTAAATGAACTCTAACTGCTTGTTATTGTTTTTACATTCTTTTTGAGTGTCATGTGATAGGAGCACAAAATGAAAAGTCATAACATATCTAGAAGTTAAATATTAAAACCTGTGGCCAACTCTGAATTATGTGTTGGTTGGGGTTGGGACAGGGAATAAAGGGAAGAGTGAAGTTTCACAGAGAAGATAATTTTGAGATGATCCTTGAAGCATGATTAACAAGACAGAAATAGAATGGAGGTAGGAAGTATTAGAGACAGATGGGACCCTATGTTTATAAGCTCTACGGTGAGCTGTAAGGAGACATGGGTCAGAGTGGCAAGGGGTGATAAGTAAGTGTAGAGAAGTAGATTCAGTAAAGATTATGATGGATCAGCTATGATTTGCTAAAGAATTTTTTTTTTTCTGGAGGTAATGGGGAGCCATATTCTGCCATCAATGTAAAAGCCAAATTAGAAAAGACACTTAAAACAGGGAGATGATTTACAAAGCTAATGCGCTAGTTCTTAAGAGATGAACGTAGTATAAATGGCAAGATAGTCATGGGGATGGAGAACAGTGCCAGGGTATGAGAGACACAGTAGGAAGTACAATTGCCAGCACTGAGACGGTAGAATGGGTCAAAGATGAAAATTGAACTTAAAGCCTACAGAACTGAAGTGAATGCTTACCATTATCCCATATCCTACAATGTGTCATTTTATTGGTTTCCTTGATCATTCAAATATTGCAAATGAGTCATTTTTATCCTGTTATCCCAGTATTGACAATGAAGAATGAGACTCAGGAAGGTAAAATACCTTGTCTGATGTCACCCTGTTAAAAAGTGGCAGCGCTGAGACTATAAACCATTCTTTCCACAACCTTGGCAACTTCAGTGTCCCTATCTGTAAATGCTGATTATGGTAATAGATATCTCCAGTGTCCCTATCTGTAAAATGCTGCTCCAGTGTCCCTATCTGTAAATGCTGATTATGATAATAGATATCTCAAAGGGATGTCGTGAAAATTAAATGAGATTATGTTTCTAAATTACTTTGCTCAGTGGCTAACTGTAATAGATGGTAGTTATGAATCTCATTTTATCACATCTTAAAGTGGTAATAGTCATGAATGCAAAATGGGATGGAGGATGTGAGAAAGCGATAAACTCTGATTTTCCTATGAAGTAGGAGGTCACATCAACTGCAGGGAGGGAGGACAAAGAGAGTCAGGAAGGGAATCTGAAAGCTTGAGGTACTCTAAGTGAACTAATAACAAGTAGACATCTAAGAATCCAATATGCGGCACCATGAGCCAATTAGTAAAGGACTATTAATCCAGGAACACCTTGCCTCAAAAAAATGAAACAAACCAAATGAACAAAATCTTCTATGTAGCTATTCTGTGTGCTAGAATGCTATTCTGGAATATTTAGATTATATCACTGCCATATGAAAAATAAAGCAGCTGTTGAAAAATCCTATTAAGCTAAAATGGTTCCGCCATTCAAACAGCATTTTCAAAGAAATATTATTTCTGCCAGATAACAGAGAATAATCAGTTCTCTCTCTTTCATTCTGTCAATATTACATAGTCTCTGAAGAAAATGTGCCGTGTTAGAGCAACAGGCTTTAAATCAATCCGACTTGCAAATGATTTTCAAAATTTAAATCAAGTTGCATGTACAAAACAACAACAACAAAAATTCCACGCAAGTTAAACATGTCATGACAATGTAACATACTCAATTTGAGGCTGTTATCCCCAGGAAGATTGCAATTAAATGAATTTCCCTTAACGTCTACACAGTGAATACAATATTTTCAAGTTAAATTGATTTATCATCTATATCTGTTTGAGGTAATTGCTGTATTTTGTTTCTTTTTGATCAGTAATAGTAATCATACTTTTAAAGTATGATTAATTTATAGGGTTTGTCAGTTTTCTTCCAAAGTAAAAAGTCAGCAGGTGTGTGTAAGAGATCTATCATCATGCATCAATTTATCTTCAGAAGGTATTTCAATATTTTTTCCCTTTTTTGCTGTCAATTTGTTTGACAAGCTAATGTATAAAAAGAAAAGCAATTTAGATATTATTTTTAAAATTAGTAATTATAATAATTTAAAATTAATTTTTTTGAAATCGATTGATAAAGGTTTTGATCACTTTGGAAGTCTAAATAGTTTGATAATCACAAGTAAATTATTCTTAAATTTTTACATGTGAACTTTACCATAATATGGTAGCCTAAGCATGCATTTTAAATAGTTTGCAGTTGATCTTAGCCAAAAGGTAAAGAAGAGATAGTTTTAATAGTCCATATAATCAGTAATGAAGCCAAAATAAAAACAGAAGAAGTGGCATTTTAGCATAGACTTTGATAATTAAAATATCTTAAATCTAATTAGATGTGAAACCAGGTAGCTTTTTTTTTTTAACAAATCATTGCATTTCTTGAAGGAGGCACTAATAAATGTGTTTTTAATATCTATAGTCTACTAATTTCTCTCTTTATATTATTAGTTCTTAGGTTGGTGCCGTGCAAGTTTGTCGTTACCAGGAAATGCAGTCTATTTTCTTTCAAAGGTTCAAGGAAATGTTTGTGTTTAGCTTACTGCATGGCAGATAACTGTACAATTTCGCTTAACCATTTCCTCTCAGAATTTAATGTTTTGTTTGCAAACTTTAACAAATGTAAAGTCAATCGAATGTTGTTGCCTAAAATAAAATTTCACATTTTGTGCATCTCTGATGAATTTTTAAATTAAAATTAAGCAGCATGACATTTATTTAGAACTTCAGATTTTATATTGAAATAGTGTCAATATGTTTACAGTAAACTAATTCCAGAAAAGAATTTTTCAAGTATCTCATCCCCCACACTCAAGGAGTTAGAAGGGTTTGATTGGCACTAATTGATAACTGCTTGTTTTATTTATTTATTTTTTTTTTGAAACCCTTGTCGTGGAAGGTAAACAAATTACTGGCTTATCCTCCACCCTTTCAGGTCTCACAGATAACTATGCAGGATGAAGGTTCTGGAAAATGAGCCATGCGTACATAGGCAACTCAAATCTACCAGAGGAGAACACAAATTTCGATAGCTCCCAATTTAAGCAGTTTATTTATACATGGGCAATTATAACAAAATGCCGTTTCTTCATTAAATAGTTTCCAAAATATTTTCAAATTATTTAAGTATGAAAAATTACCTAGAAAAAACTCTTACACTCTTCATCCGGCCCTAAAGGGCAGCGCTCGTGCCAACGAGAAGCGAGGTGGTTTGTCCTCCTAGGGCTCCCGTAGGGAGAAAACGGGCCGTCCGCCGTGGGAATGGCTGTTGCCATGGTAACGCTTTGTTTAGCGGCTATGGGCGCTGTCTTCCCACCCTGACGGGGAACCTGGCTGCTGCTGGGTGAGCGAGGCGGGATGCGTGTCCGGGTGGGGGCCGGCGGGGAAGGGCTGAGCTGCGGGGCGCGGACGGAGCTGGGTCCTCTCCGCGGGGGTCAAGACTTCCCAGAAAAGGAGAAACCGCGGCCGAGCGGGAGCTGCGCGAGTCGCGAACCTCCAGACTCCCTTCCATTCCGCAGACGTCCGTAGCTCCCTGAACCCTGAACCCCTATCCTGACTCTCTGGGGTGCCTTTGCCTTCCTCCCTCCCTGTTTCCTTCCTTCCCTCTTCCCATCCTCATTGCCTCTTTCCCTACCCACCCCCTTTTTTTCATGTATAATGTATGGTTACTTTGTATTTTCCCTCCTTTTCTTTACAGGCTTTAAAAGGTGGGGTTCTTTAAGCTTGTCCACTTTTGACAGCTTTAGCCACCCCTAGGTGACTGACTCGTATAGTATTACACATACTAACGATTTATAAAGGTAAACATTGGGAATATATGACATATATGATCTGTCATGACAAGATGTTACATTGGCAAAAAAAAAAAAAAAAAGCAAAACAAAACATACAGCTATCCCTAGTAGCATTCACAGAACTCTGAGTTAATAATAGAAAGTCATTAGATCTATCATATACTAGACTTTCCTTTTTCTCTTATGATTATTTTCATCTCTGAAGACTCAAGCTGTTCAAAAGTATTACGATGTTAATTATACCCACAAGGATGAGTTTTATAGTGAAGTTTCTTCACACTTGATCTCAGCCAAAAGGCCAAGCAGCGGTAGCTGTGAAGTTTCTAGATTCTAGGAAATAAACTCTTCCACTGCATTGCCAGTAACTTCCCCTTAAATAAGCAAAAGAATAATAGTAGAATTGTTCGCCTTGTAGTCAAACTTTTAACCAAGAACGAATGAATAAAGAAATAAAGCAATGTTCTTTGATATATGGTACAATATATAATAATCTGTGATTCAAGTTTATCACATTAAAACATGCTTACATAGAGCATATGGGATGGGTACGGCAAGTCAAAGAACTCACAATGTTAGTGACACAAATAGTTACTTCATTTTTTTTTAATGATTCAGTGTTTGTTATGAGGAATGATGGAAGAAGAAGATGATGATGCAAAACTCATAGCTGAAATAGAAGCTGAATTGGAGAAAATTAGCATTTCTTCCTTGGGGGAAAGTGACGTTGAGAGTGATTCAAAGTCAGAACCCCAGAGTGATGAAAGTGATACAGTAAGTATTTGAGCGTTTTAATAGGAGTAGTCGGCTTTTTAGGAGAAAGGTTACTTTTCTCAAGAAATGTTTGATATAATTATCCCACTTTTTTCATAGGATTACTGTTAAACAATGTAAGTAGACTGATATTTAAATATAAAAAGTATATTGAAGATGTAATTCCACAAATGTGTGTGCGCCTTTTTGTACAACTGAGATTTTATACATACACACACATTCACATACAGGGTGACCATAAGTTTGTGTGCAATTTAAATAGTTGTCTACTTTTTATATATTCTTTTTTTCTTTTAATCTTGAGCATTTTCAACATGATTAGATCACATGAAAGAAACATTTATATGAAAATTTTAGATCAATATAAATGGTGACTCTTTGAAATCAAACAAGTTATCCTTTCATTTGTGTGTTTGACCCAATGTTTACATGTTTACAGAGTTTATTCATGGATTTTTCTCTTGTACCAGAATCCTAAATCCAACTGGAATTTATTTTCAGGCATGAAAATATATATCTTATGGGAAAATTCACTGTAGATATATACCTAATATTCCCAGTGTCTCTTTTTGAATAATCCACATCGTCCTGTTTGAAATGTCCTATGTACATATCTTTCGTTCTTGACCACATGCTCTATCCAAGGCTAGCTATTGTTTTCCATTGTTCTGTTAACCTTTTCCCAGTTGTAGTTTTATTAGGACATTACATAGGAAATTACCAATTTCAAATCAAGTGGTTAGTTTATTATATCTCAAAAAAGAAGCAGAACAATTAATCAAATCCTGTGTCTAAATTGTCGACACAGTTTTATTGTCTTAATGGTAGCTTGTTAATGACAGATCTTGGAGAATGAATGGTAATGAAATTCTATTTGAGTTCTTTTTCTTGAAAGGAGAAAACCCTGGAAGAATGGTAGACAGTGAGTGCAAGGTCTGGTGAATGTGGTGGATGACAGAGAGACTCCAGGTCCATCTTCAGTAGTTTGAACGGCATTGTTTTGGAACATTTGGTAGAGCAGTCTTTCAAGGGTATTGGCTGTCTCTATTGACCAAAGCCTGTTCAATCACGAGTATTCTCATCATGTCATCCAATTGTTTTCAGTTTACATCTGCTGTAATTGATTGCCCAGGTTTAATGAAGCTGTATTGGCTAATACCAGTGCTGGGTCACCAGACAGACCCCATTGGCTTTTTTGATGAATATTTCATTTTTGATTGTGTTGTACTTCATCTTTATCCAATCATTATACAGAATGCCTACAGTTGTCAAAAAGAATCCATTTATCATCACGTGTAACAATATTGTGTAGAAATGTTTCACTTGTATGTGGTGACAGCAAAGAAAGGCAAGCTTTGAGATAGTTTCTCTCCTGATGCTTGTTTAAAGAATGGAGAACTCACCTATCCAGCCTCATTACCCTTACAATTTGTGTTAAATGGTCCAGTGTTGTCAGAGGAGTAACATCATACCCCGCTGCTAATCCATGTGTAGGTTGAGGAGGATTTGCTTCTACCGTAGCTGTTAGTTCATTGTTATCCACCTTGGTCTCAGGTCGCCCGTGCAGCTCATTTACCTGGACGGAGTTGAAGAACATTCTTCTTAGTAATATACCATGAGAATGGAAAATCAAGGGTCCCGTGTATGCAAGACTAACATGAAACCAGTACATGAACAACTACACCCCTTTATGAGACAGAAGCACAATTAAATTCAAGTGGGGTGGACGGGGATGGGTAAGCTCTCACGTAATGGGCACAGTGTAAGGGTATACACACACTTCCTGGGTGAAGGGCTCAACTCCAACTTGAACTGCACCTAACAAACACAGACAATGTAACCTAATCATGTGTGCCCTGGTGTTACTCTGATACAAAAAGAAAATAAGAGAAAATAATAAAATCACCAGAAGGGAACTTCTTCTCAAACCACTGACATACTATGTGTTCATTAGCTGCGTTATTCTGAAACCCATTGTTGATATTTGGAGCTGTGTGGCATTGGTACCATGACAGAATCCATATTGGACAATAACATGAATTTTTGACTTACGGTAATTTCACAAAAAGTTCTCTAAAAAAAATTGGAAGATAATTACAAGCCAAAACTTGAGGAGGGTCAACATTCACAATAAATATAAAACAAGAAGTGTCACAGTGAAATGTCAGAGACCTTGACTGTCAATTAAGGAAATCAGACGTTTCATACTTAGTAGCCTAATACATTTTTACATATTGAAGAGGTCACATTTCTTCCCTTGTTTTATCATTTCAAAATTTTTTCAACTAAGCTTTTTCCAAAAGAACTTACTTTTTAAGCTTTCCAAACTAATTTTGCTTTTTTAAAATTATGATTACACTAAAGCTATTACTCTTAGAAAAAATATTTTTACTTTATTGTTAATATAGCTTTCTGTCCAGTTAATTTAAATGAGACATAAAATATTAATTTTTTATTTGAATATGAAATCCCCAGGATGAGTTTTTTTATATTTTTATACCTTTATACCTAAGGAGACAAGAATAAAATTTCAGAGCTCTCTGACTTAACTAAGATGCCTCACAATTGTCTGTATCATTCAGAATCAATTTAAATACTATTGCCAGGGTTTACTTGTTTTTTAGGGGTTAGATGAATTACCAGAGTCAGTTCTTCATTATATTAACGTCATAAAGAACAAGAGTAAAACTGCTGAAGATATCTTTCTTCAGGACCTGGAAGATCCTGATGCTTTAAGTAAGTACCTTTTCATCTGCATGGCAGAAAAGTTTTCTGTAAGCAAGAATAGCTTATAATTTAGAAAACAAGATTGCTAGAAGTCTCATCTCTTTCTGTATATACGTGCATGTCTCTAATGTATTTCTAATGTAATAGCTGTAAGTATGTTGAAGTATTAGTTTTTGTTGATTTATTTTTTTTCTCTTACTGCATTTCTTACATCTCCAGTAAATACTAAACACAAGCGGTTTGTTTCCTCAGTTTTAATTAATGTCAGATATTCTGTTACTTTACATTCAAGAAAACTAATCATGGGACTATTTTAAAATATCAATGTATGTATCTTTTTGGAAAAAAATATAATCATTTATATGAAAAAAATCTAACAATCTACTGTTTGCTTGCCCTGAGTAAATGAGCTTCTTGGAGTTATTCTTTTCTTTCTTTTTTTTTTTTTTTTTGCCTTTCTTTTGCAGTCATGGGGTACAGTGTGCTGGTTTTATATACAATTTGAAATACTTTCGTCAAACTGGTCAACATAGCCTTCATGGCATCCTCTTAGTTATTGTGTTAAGACATTTATATTCTACATTTAGAAAGATTCACATGTACCCTTGTAAGATGAACCATAGGTGTGGTCCCACCAAACACCCCACCTCCACTCATCCTCCCCCCTCCCGTCCCCTCCCTCTCCCCTTTCCCCATATTCTTGGGCTATTCTAAGAATAATGAAATTTTCAAAGATTTAGTAAGAATTAAACATGGCTTGGTTGATTAAGAGAATGGCAACAACCTAAATGCTGAGCAGGACCTCAGTTTCATCAATAACACACCCATTAAACAAGATGACTTAGACAGATACAAATGAGATAAAAATAGGCATCATTAAAGTTCAATGCCATTTATGCAAATATTAGTATAAATTATAATTTAGCTATTCATATATATTTAGAAAATATTACTACATGACAGGATACTAGATACTGAGATACTGAAAATACAGCAAAGATTTTGCTCTTCTATTATAATTTTCCAGTGTTGGGAGACAAAAAGTAGACAAATAATAACTAAATGTATAACATTTCAATACTAATAGGTAACTAAATATGTAATATTTCAATAGTAATAACTTTTATGAAGAATTAAAAGTTCTTGGAAGTTGCTATTGTATACATCATATTTTTATGAAAATAATGACTGTGCCAATATATTGATGGGGAGAACAGAAATCACTCTCAGAATCCTTGCTGCAAAGGAATCTGGAGCATGGTGGGTTTTTTTTTTTTTTATTTTCAGCCTCTCAGACAGGAAGGCAAGCCCAAAATATTGTGAATAGGTATCCAAGAAATAATACATAGTATCTTACAAAATAGGTATGAATAATCACTTAACTGGCAGAATGGCCTTCTGTAAAGATAGTTTAGGACTAAAGCTTGCCATAGTATAACATATTAATTGATGAAATGTAACTATGAATATATTTGTACAAAATAAAAAGACGATAAAATTCAAAAAATAGAATTAAATCAGGATTAAAATTCTACTTCCCCCATGTTAGTAATTACAGTCTTTTTAATTATTATTTTTATGACAGTGCTTTCAATATCTTGTGCAAGTTTATATTGCTAGATTGTGGCAGGTGGCATTTGAGTCTTTGATAGTTGCAATCAAGGTTTCATTGCCATATCAAGCAAAGTGTGATTCTACATGCCTGGATCTAAACTTCAGGCTTTAGACGTAAAAATAACAAAGAATTAGAGTACCTTAGAAATTTGTCACTTTTAGTTTTAGGATAAAAATAATAGGTTCCTTCTGTCTTTTATTCTTCATTATTTTTCTATCCTTTTGCATTACTCTTACTGAGTAAAGACTACACCGTGGTGGAATTTGAGATTGAAGAATCATGAAAGGGTTTGAGATTTTGGCATGTTGTTCTCTAATATGTGAAGTTATAATACATATTTTTTTTTCTTTCTATAGGCTGTAGTTTTGGAGAAGTTTCTAATAATCATATGCATTTAAAAATAGGATTACCAACTGAATGTAAAGAAGGTCCAGGGCAATTACTGAAGGTAAATGTTCAACATTTAACTTAAAGTATTCATGATTACAGTTAGAAATTTATCCTTCCCTTTATAAAGAATAATTTAGAGTATGTGAAATTTTAAAAGTCATTCTTCAACCAAATCATTTTTGGTTTTTTGGTTTCTTTTTGCATATAATATAAAGCTACTCAAATTTCATTCTTTAAGAACATTAAAGATGTTAAATTGAGCCTTTTGTACTTGGGAATTTAACGTGTATGTAGATAAAGAAGAGGAAGTATGTTGCATGATTTAAAAAAAATCTCTGAGGAAAACAGTGACTCCCCTACAGTGTTGATTCCCTCTATTACGTATGCACTATATTCTAGCAGAACACTGTAGAAACTTCAGATAAGAAGATCTTAATATAGTATTTTAGAAACAGATAAAAGAAAAATACACTTAAAAAAGTAGGAGTAAAGAGTTAAGCATTTCATTGAGTTAAAACCTCACAAATGTATTTAAAAGAAAGTCTCTTCTGCAGATTCACTTTGGGGACTCATTTTTACCCTTTATTTTATCTAACTTTCTCTCCTTTTACCTAACTCTATTCCTCCTCCCTAAAGAGTTTGACAGATTGAAAATTACTTGTAAGTTCCTTTTCCTTTGAGTGTTTTGCCTTTTCTGTGTTTTGGTGATGATCAAATTTGAAATATTAATTTTTCATTTCAGCTGTGATCATACAGCTAGTTCTTTGGAATAAATATACTGTATCTTTTTAATCAGAATATGGTAAAAATATGATTATGGAAAGTTATTGATTAAAATAGATAATGCATAATTCAGGTTAAAGGAAAGAACAGGTCTCTTTTTTTCATATGAACAGATCAAATATTAGTAGAAACTTTTTTGAAATGATTATCAGGAAGTTTAATTGAATATAAAAGACTGATTAGAGTTTTGAAAAACATAAGGAGGGTAAAATACAGTCTGCTTGCATGGAAAAATATTTTTATTCATTATAAAGAGAAAAATTGTCAGGGTCCTATAGATTTGTATTTGAGAGAGGTTTGGAGTGAACACAATTCTTGGTATCCGTATATAAATATTCAATGTATTTTTAAATGACATGAGCTTCCTATGATAGCTTCCCATGATAGCTTCCTTTCTATTTTGGCCTTCACTAATCATTGGTACTCATTTAACCCCTTAGATGTTATCTGAAATAGAAAAGGAAGAATTTATGAGAAGTACAACCAGCTCTTCCAGTCCTGCTCCTGCTCCTGAGCTTGAGCCCTACAACTTGCCTCTGGATGAACGTGTTTTATCGGGTAAACTGAATTGCTCAAGAATGTTTTTGATAATTTTTAAGTGATTTTATATGAAAAAGATTAAGACTTTTTTGACATTAAGAAAACAATTATAACGTTTGAGAAATATTATGCCTTTACTTATTTACTTACATATTCTCATAGTTTTCGTTATGTCTCCTTTAAAACCTGATTTAAATGTATAGCTGATTGCAATAGATTAACTAGCCTGAATTAATTTTTTTTTTATTGTTTGGGATTCATTGGGGGTACAAAGAATTAGATTATACGGATTGCATTTGTTAGGTAAAGTCCCTCTTAATATTTGTGCCCCACCCCCAAGAGGTGTGCCCTACATCCTAACATTATGCCCATTGAGTGGGAGGACACCAATGCCACTGCCTCCTCTCCTCTCCCCCCGCCCTCATTCTCCTACCCTCCACTTTGTGTTAGGTCATCTTGCTACCTTTGTATTAGAATTGTGTACATTGGATTCTTGCTTCTCCATTCTTGTGATGCTTTACTAAGAAGAATGTGTTCCAACTCATTCTTTTTAAAATTTTTTTTTACATAAAGTATTTTATTGTTGTTATTTGTATTTCTACTATTAAACAGATAACAGTTATTGAGCACTTAGGTGGCAAGCAGTCTTTTAAGTTATTTATATGCTAACTCCTTGAATCCTCACAACAACACAATGAGGTAAGTGTACTCACTTTACAAATGAGAAAAATAAAACACAGAGAGATTTAGTAATTTGCCCAAGTTCATACAGTAAGAGGCAGGCATATGGACTGGGCCTGAAGTATAGCCAGCACTACTACTTACCATGGAGTTACATAAACGTCAGTGTTCATAGTAACCTTCCAAGGTAGATATTATTATTTCCATTTTATGGATGAGGAAACTGAGATTCAATGAGGCTAAGTACTTACTTCAAACTCTGCACAATAGGTGCTGGAGCCCTTGTTGATTCTAGGTCTTCCTTGCTGAAAATTATTTATGGTTGACCCATTATTTCTAGTTGACCATTCTACTCCCTCGCCTATCACATGGATCTCAGCTGGACATCTAAAGAGGTCTGGTTCTAAGTACCTAAAGGAGTGGTTCTCAAACTTGAGAGTGTATCAGAATCACCTGGAAGGTTTAAAACCTAGAATGGGGACTCTATCCCCAGGGTTTCTGTTTTAGTAGCTCTGGGATAGCCCCGAAGGCTTGAATTTCTAATAAAAACTCAAGTGATGTTAAAGATGTTCCTGCCTATCTCAACATTTTTATTTTTTGTAGATATGGGGTCTCACAATGTTGCCCAGGCTGATCTTGAATTCCTCACCTCAGGCAATCTTCCTTGGGGCACCCATAGCTCAGAGGTTAGGGTGCCAAACACATACTCCTGGTCTGGTGGGTTCAAACCAGGCCCAGGCCTGCTAAACAAAACAACAACAACAACAATGACAAAAATAGCCAGGCACTGTGGCGGGCACCTGTAGTCCCAGCTACCAGGGAGGCTTAGGTAAGACAATCGCTTGAGCCCAAGAGTTTGAGGTTTGCTGTGAGCTATGATGCTACAGCATTCTACAGAGTGCAACAAAGTGACACTCTGTCTCAAAAAAAAAAAAAAAAAACAGCAATCTTCCTACTTTGGCCTTCTGAGGTGCTGAGATTACAGGCATGAGCTACTGTGCTCAGCCCTGTGCATTACTTAGAAATGTGGCATGATGTATGATCTATGACTATAATATAAAGCCTAATTACCCTTAATTGCCCATATTTTAACTCTGTCCTTACCTTAAGTCTGAAACCATTTTATAGTGAGCTCTGCTAAGCCAGATCTGGTAGTTCTCAAAGTATGTTCTCAGAACTGGAACATCCAACTCATTCTTAACCAGGTTAATACAAAAGATGTAAATCTCCATCTATTTTAATGGCTGAATAGTGTTATTCTGATAAGCCTATACTATAGCTTGTTACTGCATTCCTGGGTTGGTGGGCATTTAGGCTGTTTCTACATTTTTGTGACTGTACATTGACCTGCGATAAACAGTCTAGTGCAAATGCTCATGCTAAGATGATTTTTTTTCTTCTAAACTACCCAGAATTTATTAAGCATTTAACTATGTCCTTTAGCTTTTTCTTAACTGCATATACACCTCCTCACATACACACACACTCACACTTTTCATTTTTATATTAAGTTTTGTGGAATATATTAAGGCAAATTATTTGACTTCTTCATTGACTTCAGTGGAATATCCATGTTTATTCAACAATGTATTTTCTTTTTGCATATTATTAATTTGGTAATATTTTTATATTTTTTCACTTTGAAATTACTTTTATAATTTAAATTGAATCAGTTTTTAAAGGTTTTACCTTAAGAATAATGATGTTATTGAATGCAGATAATGCTGATATAAATTTTGGATACTGTGAAGTGGAAGAAAGATGTCGACAATCTTTTGAGGCTTGGCAAGACAAACAAAAAGAACTAGAGGACAAAGAGAAGGAAACTCTCAGAGCTCAGAGGGATAAAGAAGAAAAGCAATTTCAAGAAGAGGAAGAAAAGCGACATTTCTGGATGAAACAATTTGAAGTAGAAAAGAAGATATTAGAGAATATTCACAGGGTACTTTTGGCTTTTTTTTACTTTTTATACATTATTGGAAAAGTAGTTGCTTCTGAAGAGTATCAATATAGAGAGTGTAGTGTGGATTGAGCTTCATTATACAGCTTTTAATTACCCATAGTAGTGGAAACAATGGACTTTGACTTAACAGTTCTTACTGTGGACTCCTCAATTAGATGTCTCTAAAATTCACTGGCTATTCAGAGACAGCCTTCCAGTCTGTAAGTTTCATTGATAATCCCTAGATAGCCTTAAATTTATAACAGAAACTGTGGCTTTTTAAATACCTTTCTACTCATAGGCAAAAGTAATGAACTTTTCTTCATCATGCAGTGCCCTCGCGATGTGCTTTGGCATATGACCCATTATGTAAGACGTATTTTGTTGAATTGGTTCAACCATTTAGGTGACAGTCTATGTACCACTCCTATAATTGAGATAATCCTTTGGATTAGAAATTTTTCGATGAGAAGGAATATTGTGTTTATTTCTAGTGTGTTTGTGTGTGTGTGTGTGTCTTTCCAGGAGGTCAACACAATCAGGTTACATTAGTGGCCCATGGGTGAATTTTGGGTTACTGCTTGCAGGTTGGTGAGCTCTTAGAATGTCTGGATAAGAGGCAGGACCAACTTCTCTGTTTTGAAAGTGATTTATATATGTCTATGACTCTGAACTTGCTGGTTGTGAGGGTTCCATAGAGAGAGCATTAGCTTGTTGTCATTTAGGCAAGTCAGGGTTTTCCAGCCTTCTATGTTGAGTAAATTTTATTTCCTAATTTTATGGAAAATGAACAAATTAAAAACAATTATAACATTTTTAGAGCCAGTATTGCCATATCTTTTTCTAATGGTAAACTATGAATCTTTAACTTTTTTTTAAGCTATCCTTTCTTTCTGCAGACCAGAATTATATAGTTATTTCCAAAATCATAAGCTTTTTAAAAAATTCTCAAATTGAATATAATATGGATTATTGGAGTAATAGTCCCTGGTATGTGCTGAAATGCAAGATTTGATTGAATATGAGTGATCTTTTTCAGATGTAGGAAACATATGATTTATCAATCCAGCATTTTGATTTGTTTTATAACCAAAATTTATGGACTATCTCAAGAGGAACACATTCAGTTGTACACTTAGATGATGCAACAGAAATATAATGTTTGGGCCTCATGCTCAAAAAATGACTTATTTTTTGAAAATAATTTTTAATTTATCATAAAATTATGATATAATAAAATATGGCATTGGCATGTATAATTAATTTCTAAATGTATGCATTGAGTCTTAAAAGTTTTTAAATGTTTTTTAATTTATTCAATAATTTTTTTATGGATTCTAAACATATAAATTACTACCTTTTAGCAATTCTTTTCTGGGTACTTTGTCAGTTGCTTCTTCCATTTCCCAAAGCATCTTTCTTAAATTTCTTAAGAGTCCCACCCACTTACTATCCCCTCCTTATTAGCAAATGATCACATAGCATTTTTGCATGAATTGCAATTTCTTTTTCTTTCTGTTCCATAGCTATTTAGCATCAACATCTGTACTCATCTTTTTTTATTATTTGTCTTCCCTCTTTTCTCAGGATGAAAGATATCTTCCTTCTGCTACCTCAAACTGTTAGGCTCAAGCGATCCTCATGGGTCAGCCTCTGAGTAGCTGGGGCTTCAGGCACCCACCACCATGCCTGCTTAATTTTTCTATTTTTAGTACAGATGGTGTCTTGCTCTTGCTCAAGCTGATCTAGAGCTACTGAGCTCAAGTGATCCACCTGCCTCAGCTTCACAGAGTGCTTGGATCACAGGCGTGAGTCACTACACCCGGTAGATCGTTGTCTTGATTTTCTTCTTCAAGTTTGGCAATTCCTTCTTCGTATCCATTTTAGACTTACTATTCTCTCTCTCTGTCCTTGAATGCAGTAATACCATGGATTCTGTCCTTTGTCTCTTTCTCTCATTATTCCATGTATTTTGTCTCATAATAATATTACCCACAGACCTGGGTGTTCAGAATTAAATTTATATTTATAACAAACTATACTGTATTCTCAGAACTTTACCCATCTAAAACTGAAAGCATTATCTTCCTGAATCCTGCTCCTTCTCTGGAGTTCTTAGTTTTGATAAGCAACATTATCGTCATTAGTCCAAGCTGGAAAAATGAAATGTATTTTTTACTTTTCCCTCCCTTTTATTATTCTCCTTCTTCTAATTTTTTTTTTTTTTTGAGACAGAGTATAACTATGTCACCCCCAGTAGAGTGCCGTGGCATCACAGCTCAGAGCAACCTCAAACTCTTGGGCTTAAGCAATTCTCTTGCCTTAGCCTCCCAAGTAGCTGAGACTATAGGCACCCACCACAGCACCCAGCTATTTTTTTCTTGTAGTCATTGTTGTTTAGCAGGCGCAGGCCGGGTTCAAAGCCACTAGCCCTGGTGCATGTGGCCGGGGCCCTAACCACTGAGATATGGGTGCTGGGCCCTTTTAATTGTTTTGTTACCCATCTTCTTGCCCATGTCTAACTTCTACTTTGTAGCTAAAATGATCCTAGTGTCTACTTTTAGCCTTGTTTTTCTTAAGCGTATCTACTGTAGTGCTATGAGATAGCTATTTATTTAAGAAATGTTATTCCCCTACTTAAATTCTATTAAAAGTTCCCATAGCTAATATAACATTTAGAGAAGTGTTCCTACTTCCTTCATATCTAGTCAATTGACATTTTGTGGTAATTTCTTTCCATCTGTCTCTACTCTTGTCACAGTGCAGAAGGTTCCCATTGATTCTCACGTGGTGATCCCCAACTTCTTCTTCACTTATCTTTTTCTTTTTGTAGAGACAGAGTCTCACTTTTTGCCCTCAGTAGAGTGCTATAGCATCGCACAGCTCACAGCAATCTCCAGCTCTTGGGCTTAGGCAATTCTCTTGCCTCAGCCTCCAGAGTAGCTGGGACCACAGGCGCCTGCCACAACTCCTGGCTATTTTTTTGTTGCAGTTTGTCCAGGGCCAGGTTTGAACCTGCCACCCTTAGTATATGGGGCCAGCACCCTACCCTCTGAGCCACAGGTGCTGCCCCTTCATGATGTTTTTATTATCTCCTTGGCTGTCTTTCAATTTTGTCTAATGTAAACATGATTTTCCTAAAATTGGGATTGTAAATTTTTCCTGGTTCCATACATATAAATTCTGAAAATGCCTGGTCCACCATTTGAAAACCAAGTAAGTTCAAGCAATAACTTTTGCATAAGACCTTTCATGATCTTCTATTTAGAACATCCATTTCTATTGTGAACCTTTATAATTTTTAGAATGTAATAAAGATATTACACTAAATTTGGGGTACTATGTAAACTTTTGATAGGGCTTCTAGTATAGATTTGTACTTTTTTGAAATTCTCAACAGCATTTCTAGCCAACACATTTTCATTTTGTGAATAAACATTCAAGAAATTTAAAAACTTTACCAGATTGCAAACATCTTTATGTCCTCAGAAAGGGAGTCCTATGTATCATGTATATGACATTTTAATTTGAGATTAAAATTGTTATCCCAGTACTAAAAACTAAGGAAGCTCGTAATATTTAACAAATATATGTTATAAGAATTATATGTAATGAACAAAATATTCTTTGATATTTTATATAATAATATTTCATTATTATCATATCTTCAGCAAGAACAGGATAAGATGAATGATGAACTCCATAAAGAAGAGACAATTTGGGAAGAAAAATATAAACAACATGAGGTATTTATTTTTTTATAATCAGCACCTTAGTTTTTCTCCATTTGAGATAAATTGCTGTGCTGGAAATGGATATTTTATAATATTATCAAACTGGTATAAGACTCAATTTATTACAACAATAAAAATTTAATCATGAGAAACTCTTGGAATATACTTTCTGAACAATGAAAATTAACTGATTCAATGACTGTATCCATGGGAAACTATAATTCTAAAATTTCTTTTAAGGTTTGAGGAAAGGTACTATATGGACCATTTTTGGTTTGAAGATTGCTGTGCAAGGTTACTATATTTCCTGAACAAAATTCTGTTGAATAAGCCCTTTGAATTTTGATGGTACATTAACATAGCTTTCATTTTCCTTCATTCTATAGTTTTTACATAAAAATATTTTAAGTAATTACAAATATAAAGTAGATAAAATTCTCATCACCCTGTTATCCAGATAAACATTTTTATCTTCTTCATACTTACTTTAACTCTTTTACTTATTTATATAAACACAATCCTAAGCATCTAGGTTTCTATGGTATGTACTTAAATGAAAATATTGATTAAGAATGTGAAGTGACAGGTTTAAATGAATGACAAGAGAGGAAAAAAGATAGTAACATTTTAATGTTTTAATCTAATGTGTTTTAATTTAATGTGTTTTTAATTTAATGTGTTTTAATCTAAATGTTGGGTTTAGTAGAGCCATTGAAACACCTATAGCTATCATCCAAAAGCAAAATAGGTAAACAGATAGGTAACATGAAAGAAAATTAGAATCCGTAATGAAGTACCAAGTACAGATTCTAGGGACAAAAAATATATAAGTATATAAAATAAAAATTCAGTGGATCAGTTGAAAGTAGAACAAATATAACAGAAGGGAGTGTGGGTGAAACAAAAGAGAGATCAATAGAAAACATCCAGGTTAAAGTATAGAGATGACAAAGTTCAGGAAAAGCAAAAAACAGTACAAGAGATATGTGATATATAGTGAAAAGACATAAAATTTATATGGTAGAAATTTTAAAGGAGAAAAGAGAGACTATAGCAGAAGCAAGGAGATAATGGTTGAACGGTTTTCAAGTTGTTTAAATAAAAGTCGACCTGAAAGTTCAAAAGTGACTACTAACCCACAAGGAGGATTGAGGCACCCCTGGGGATTAGAGAGTAGCCACTGGAATTCAAGACAAAGAAAACAAAGTATGAGGAACACACAGACGAGAAAGACACATTCTCTATCAAGGAGCAACAGTGAAAGGAACAGCTGACTTTGAAATAAAGGAAGAAGATAAGGAACAAAAAATTAATTGCTAATGTTAATGGTTCCTTTTATCATATTCTCTTGAATCTTGAGTATTCCTCGGATTTGGGGACTCATTTCTCATTTCCTAGAATATAAATTCTTGGCAGAAAGAATTTTGGGATGGTAAATTTTCTCAAATTTTTTGTACAGTTGAATATGGTTTTATTTTGATTTCAAAATTGAATGATTAGTTATTTAGGTATCTAATATAGGTTTGTTAGCACTTTTAATAACATTTCTTTTTGCCTCGGCTTTGTTTGATTACGGATTTATTTGGTGCTTATTCCTTACGTTCTTTTGAAGTTCTAGGAATTTTCACCTCATACATTCATTTAACCATATTTACTGCTTTTCTGTTATATGCCACCCATTTCTCTTAAGATACAGCAATGAATAAAAATACAGAAAGTAATTCTTTCTTTCATCAAGTAAATTCTGAAAAACTGCTGGCTTCTATCTCAATGTATTGTGTATATATGTATTTGCATGTGCGTATGTGTGTAAAGTTAACTCAGCTTCTTATTATGTGGTCTTTTATTTTTGTTGTATGTTTGCTTAGAAAATATTTTTTTTCCATAATTTATTTTCTTCAGTTTTTCCTAGTTCTTTATTTTGGAACTCCCACCAATCACACGTTAAAGTGTTTATATTGGTCTTCTTTACCTGTGACATACAATTTCTATCTTCTCATTTTGCTTGTTGAACATAATTTTGAAGTTCTTCTTTAGGTAATTAGCTCTTAAGTCACTCTATTTTTTTTTTTTGGTTTAGTGAGTATATTTTTTATTTGAATACTTATATTTCATTTTTATATAAAGTTTTTTTGTTTAAACATTTTTTCTTAAAATTATCTTTAAGGTTTTATCTACTTTAAAAGCTCTTTTCTCAGATATTGGTTTTTAGTATACATATTAGAACATCAACTTACCAACATGATCCAATACCCTAAACCAGGGGTTCTCAAACTTTTCAAATTTTTAAACAGTTCACTGTCCCTCAGACCATTGGAGGGGAGGACTGCAGGCCCCAGGACCAGTCAGCTGCTAAGCAGGACAGGCAGTGGTGGCAAAAACACCCGTCAGGCCAAATAAATGTCCTAGGCAGGCCACATAGTTTGAGGACTCCTGCCCTAAATATTTTTAAAAAATACCTTTTCAAATAAATTTAGTTTCTCCAAATTAATTTATAGTATATTTACTAAGACTTTAGTTTTGGTATTTTTTAAATCTATATTATAGATAATATTTCAATAATATCACACATTCAGTTTGATGCTGACTAGTAATTATCTTACTTTATTATAGGAGCTTATTAGAAGCTTACATTTACAAATGGAAGAGGAAAGAATGAGATTTAAAGACCTACAGGAAAAAGAAACAATGCGGTTGTTACAACTGCAGCAGAATGCAGCTGTCAAAATTCAAGCTAAGTATAAAGCATTTGTGGCCTACAGAAAATATAGCCCAATCATAAAAGAACAAGTTGATAGGGAAAGGAAAGTGAAAGAGTGGAAAGAGAAGGAAGCAAAAATACGACAGAAGGAGGAAGAAAAACGAAAAAGATTAGAGGAGGCACAAAGGATAGAAGAAGAGAGAAAAAAGCAGAAGCAAGAGGAAAGAAAGAGGAGAGAGAAGGAATATGAACAAAAAAAGAACATCATAAGACAAGAAAGAGAACAACTAAGAAACAAGGAAAAATTAAGATTAAGAGAAGATGAAAACCTACAGTTAGTACAAATGGGCGCTTTCCAGAAGGAATCATGCAATACCAAACATCTAACTCTTGAAGATATTTCCAGGAATAAGGATAATGTAGCCAAAAGGCTAGTGAATGAAAATTCAAAGAAGCAGGAAAATATTCCCCTCTGGCTGCTTGAGGACTCAAACAAGAGAGAAAATATAAGTGGACAGCTTGTGTTTAAAGAATCAATAGAAGTACAATTAAAAGACTCCATATCAAACCAAGAAATTCTGGCAGATTTTACAAGAGAAGGAAAAAGTGAAAAGCTAGCAAAAAAACAGTTTTCAGAACAATTGGTCAAACAAGAAATAAAATATGAAAATATAAAACAAGAAAGTGAATTGGGACAACCTGATCTAAAGCACAAGGTGAAAGAACAGTTTCAGCTGCAAGGATTAAAGTCTCAAATACACACAGAGGAAAGCCTGGAACATGCCTTAGATGAAAACCTGGGACCAGAAATCCAAAGCCTATTCAGACCTAACCAAGAAATCAATGAGGTGAAAAACAGTGAACCACAGAAAATAATCAAAGATAATCAGCTGGAAAAGGCACAAACAGTAGAAAAAGAGCTACAGGAACAGAATGGATCATTATACAAAGAGAATACTTCAATTATGTCAATGAAACAAAAACCACTCCCACTAAAATCAGAAAATGTTAAAGATATAGTAGAGAATGTGACACCACAAGAAAAAGAAATTGATTTAAAATCCAAAGAAAGTGGGCAGAACCCAAAAGACAACACTCTGAACTGTGACATTGTGATGTTTAACACCATTAATGCCGTGATAAAGAGAGAGAGCAAAGGGAACAAGCAAGACTGTATTTTAAGGGAACAAGCTTCTTGTGAAGACTTTGGGGGCTGTGTGGCAAAAAACTCCATGGTTTCTAAAGAAGTAAACTCCCTTAAAGCTGAGGTTAAGGAGATTTCAGAAGAATGCCATGAAAATGGAGCTGACCATGAGAATAGCATGACCTGCCCTATAACAGCGACTCCACTTCTATCCACTATCAAAGAAAAAAGGCTTGCTTGGATAAAATCATTTAAACCTTGGTGTGAAATTTTCAAGCAACACCAACAAAAGACAGTCATCCCTGGAAGAAAGAGACCTGTGAAATGCCCAGCTGACAGGATGCCCCCTTTGAATACACTGGAAATTCTTCAGTGTGGCCCTTGGAATACTTTACAACAGGTATTTCTAATTTCATAAGGCTTTTTTCATATTTAATTGTAACTCCTTAAAATGTAACTTTTCAAATGTTAGTAGAAGGAGTATTGTGTATATGTGAATGCTGTCTCTTAACTGATGAGATTACTGTTGAAATATTGCCCCATTTTAGGGAGGATGCATTTTAAAATTCTCAATTAAAGTTATTCAGAGCATCTTCTCCCTAGATGAAGCATTATAAAAAATTTGACTTGTGTATTTTTTAATATCCTGAAGTCCATGTTCAAGGGCCCTACAGTCTCTATTAAGCATCTCAGAGAGAAAGCATATTGGAATTTAGGGTTGGAATGAGACTGGGAAACTCAGTCACCAGGTTAGAAGTTTGCTTTAGACTTCAGCCACTGCGCCACCTTGTGGTTTCAATTAGAAGGAAGTATATTTGTAACAACCACTGCCTGAAAGAAAGGTTTACATGATAGAATACCGTAGAATTCCCATATTAAAACATAATTAATATAATTATTTAGTCTTGTACCTGTATAAAGGTAGTGCGCCTTTAGCCTGAAATTTAAAATAGTTTTCATCAAATGCTACTAGTGTTCTGTGGTTATGAAGATCATAGTTTGGACTCAAATTAAGACACAGTAAATGAAATACGTGTAGAAAAATAGGGAAAATATTAAAAAGTGTAATAATAGAAATGATTTATGATCAAAATACATGAACATAGTTTATACCTGAACTTCAAATGTATTCAATAAAGTTTATGTAGTTTCTTGATATAAACAGTTGCCCAGGAAAAGACATATTCCTGGGTAAGCATGACTTTTGTCATTCATTCAACAAATATTTATTTGTCCAATATGATTTGTCACTACTTATTGACAAACCAAAGTACAGACAAGGAAAATCTGGCCCTTTTCCTTATGGAAATTAAGCACACACAGACATAATACATTGTGAATCTTAGTAATTACTATAAATCAGATGTCAGGGTATTCTGTGAAAGGATAACAAAATAATGGAGTTTAGAACAGACCTCTGAAGAACTAAAGAGCAACATGAGGAACCAAAACTAGGAAACATACGTTGAAGTGCCTTCTATTTCCTGGGGAATGCGTTTGCCATTTTCATCAGGTCTGCAGAGATGCATGTAGAATCTCTCATCAGGTCTGCAGAGATGCATGTAGAATCTCTCATCTGCTCATCCTCTGTTTTTTTTTTTCTTGAGCTTGTTCTGTCTGGAATCATTCTTTTTGGACTTTTCTTTCCCTAAGATAATTGCTGTAGGCTTTGCAATGTGATGACATTAGCAATTATTAAATTTTCCTTATGAATATCTGTTAGAGCGTTAGCATGAATAACAGCTTCACGTCAACAATGCACTTATTTCAAAAGTAAAACTGAAGCTAGAAAATCACTAGCATTTTCCCCTTTCACTGTAGGTCTCAATGAGAAACACCCCTGAGGAATTAAAACGTGTGAAGCTCTTTCTCTGTTGGCATTTCTTTTCCTGCTTGATCTCTGTTTCCTTTGGGAACTCTTGTCATCTTATATAATGGGAGGATTAACTCTCTTTCTTTAATTCTTAGAGCAAGGCATGGAAAACTAATGTGAGATTGATCGTCTGAGCATTTGTTAAAATTTTGATACTGATTCGATGGGTCTAGTGGTGGTCCCAGTGATCTGCATTTTGGCAGTGCTCCTAAGCGACGCTGTTGGTGCTGATCCATGGAACAATTTGAGTGTTACTGTACTAAAGGACACTAAAATCCTTCACCATTATGCAGAGTAGCCATTCCAAGCTTTAAATTTTGCTTTGAGCCATCATATATACATTATTAAAATGAAAAACACAAGTAGATGTGCCACATGTTAAAAATATCATCTTTTGTTTCGAGACAACTCCTATGAAAAATGTGCTTGGCAGGTGACTTATCACCATATTTTCATTCATAACTGCCTCTGATCCATGACTCAGTTCCTTATTTTGATTTTCTAATAACTTAGTTTTACATCTTTGTCCTTAATCCTGATCACCCACTGCCATCCTTAGAGGATCTTTCTGGAAAGGACCTTTAGAAGAGAAAAGTTTAGTCCTCTGAAGGTTCACCCAGCAATGAATTCATTTTAGTTATATTAATCTCCCACTATGAGACTTTGGGACATGATTCGGGTCTTCCTTTTAGTCAGATCTTTTTACAGATTGCCAGGTAAATACAGATGTTCTTTGAATTATAATGGGGTCATGTCCTGATAACTCCATTGAAAGTTGAAAATCTCACAAGATGGAAATAGTTTTGTTCTTTTATTAAAACATAGTGAATGGTGAAATGGAAAATTGTTTGCTCTTTATTAAAATATAATGAATGATTCATAAATTCTATAGTAGAACAGTTCATCCTCAAATCATGAAAGCCTGAAAATAGAAATTTTTAAAAAATATTTTATAGTTTTTTTTTGTAAAGGAAAGAAACTATGAATACGAGAAATATATTTGAGTTTTGCCACAAGTTAGAGCAGTGATTCATTATTTCTTTGAAGTTGATTCATTTATTTCTTTAGGAAACATTTAACTAAGACCCACTATGCTCCAGTTGCTGTCTCTGAAACTGGCCATATATTGATTAACACATATCATTACTAATTCTATATTGATGTTAATTTTTGAAGTACAAAATTGCTTCAAAATGCTTTATGAATGTGATTTTTGTCATGTATTTATGAAAAATCAATATAAAAATTTATTTTGATCTCACATTTGTATCTAGGGTAGGTTTGGGTAGAAAATAAATTGCTTTATCATAAGGATTATTTTAACATGTTCTGTATAAGGAAGAAGAAATTCAATGAAACTTTTCATATTTAAAAGTAAATACCACTAACAGTGATACTGCAAGAGTTGTTCTCCCTATAATATAATAAAACAAAACTATATAAATTGCCATGTCATAAATAACTAGAACTTAATTGTGATTATATAGCTGGTTGAAAGTAAAATGTTATTAAATAAAGGAAAATAATATAAATAATAATGTCAAGTAGCATAGTGTTTTCAAATTTTTAGTGTACAGCAAAGTTTCCGTTTATAGAATTTATATCTGTTTGTGTACAGATTAAATGGGCAATACAGAAGTTACCTCCACAATAATGGATAAATATATTTTCTTTCTGAACAATCTTGAAAAATACACTTGTTTTATAATTGCTTTAGAGCTATGTGAAGTATTGCACCTGAAGGAATATCTCAATAATAAAAAAGGTTATAAATGCATGGCTTTCAAAGGCTTTAAAAGTATAAAAAAATAACTATTCACGATTTGCTATTCCATAAATTCTGTGTTCTGCATATATTATTCAGTAGTAATGGATGATTCAGATCTTTTTTTTTTT